AGACTTAATAAAAAGATTAGATATTAGCTTTTGAAAGCATTGTAATGTTTAATGATAAACTGCCAAATTTCATTAACATTCACTTACTAATTTAAAAGTTATAGCATGAAAACTATAATCAGAACAAAATGGTTATGAGGTCGGTCCCAGGGTTGAAAGAGTTAAGGGTCATGCCATCATCACAAAATGTGGAATAAATCTCCTATAACATCCTACAAATCCTAAAAATGCATGGATATCCTTTACTGTTTTTGGTACTGGGTAATTCTCACATATTTCTAATTTCTTTGGGTCTGGTTCTACAACCTTCTGTGATTGCCACATGACTTAAACAGTCTACTTCCTTTCATAGGAAGTGGCATTTACTTGGCTTCATCTTTAAGTTTGCCTTACATCTAATAAACGCATGATTTAATCTCTCTAAGTGTTCTTCAAAACTCATGGTGAATTTAAAAGTTATAGCATGAAAACCATTACAAGAACAAAATAGTTATGAGGTTGGTCGTAGGGACTGAGCCCAGGTTGAAAGAGTTAAGAAGCTTCCTAAAAAAAAAGGTGTAGGTACGATAAATATTTCAGCACCATAGTTAGGATCTGACGAATCCTAAAAAATTGTGATCTATTCAGGTTGAACACAGACTCCAATCTGGAACCCCATATTTAAAGGAGTAGGTCTATTCTCCGAGTCTAGATATGCTTCCACCTGGAGGTGGTAGGTGAAAGCATGTTGTTATGTCAAACATGGTGGACAAGGCATAGCTGTCCCTTCACATAACTGAGCAGTAAACCTCCCTACATAAACCACAATATCAGGGGATGGAGGGAGAACTAAGTACTCACCCTCAGACCTTTCTGCAATGAAAGAAGGCACAGATTTAAAAGCAACCAGCAAAAGACTCAACACTTCACACACTTGATGTACCGATGGAAGAAAAGGAGCCAGGGGCAGCTGATCCAAACTGGCCTCATGAGAAGCCAAAAGAGTAAAGGAAGATGCTGAAAAAAGTGAATCTATATTCTCTCCAGAACGTTCAGGATCACCCATCAGTGCAGCCACAGAGTCCCCCGGAGAAACATCACTGGACCAAAGGTATGCCTCCATCTCACTATGGATAAGGTCTAGGGTCACGGACAGCTTCAACGGAGAGCGACCCCCCCCCCCCAATTCATGAGAAATGATAGATATCAGAGGTGTGGTATAGGAGACACCTGATCTGCCTCTGTGCCAGATAGATTAATTTCTTTATTTTTAGTTTTACAAAAAACAAATAGGTAACATGAAGAACACTCAAAGTATCTCCAAAGGTTGTACTTCAGAGAAACTCACGAGCAATTAAGTGGGGAATAAAAGACTGGAGCAAACAAGAAAAAATCAGAACAATGCTTACTAAGATGGGCAAAGGAAAAGTAACCCTAGCAGTCAAGTAATAGCTGTAGAGTGAGTGGAGGTAAGTATGTTTTGGAATATAAGTTTTGAGTCACCTGGTTTCCGAGTAGTTTCTTTACATAAACTTTCTTGAGTTGGTGGCTTGTGAGCTTTACCCATGACTGCATACAACATAATGTCCTGGTAATAAATAAATTTATTTGTAACAAGTGTAGATTGAACCCAAGGACTAAAGCAGGATGTTAACACATCTAAAACCCCTTGATGAGGTGATCATCTAACAGTAAATATGTTGTATTCTCAGGTAAACTGTTTTCCCAACAAGTATTAGATAGACAGTGCTGCAGATAAAAGCAGATGTGCTCAAGAATTAAGAGGATTTCTGTGTTAAATAACTGGACTGAGTTCCTTTTATGTGTAGAATAAAAAGTCTGGACAACTTTGGAATAAAGTAAAAAAAATTGTATTATACAAATAAAACAAGTAAAGTAGTGTGTGCACACACACAGACTTGGAATGTTTTTTTTTTCTACTAGAGGGTGATTAGTCCCACAGCCTTCCTCCTCTCGAGAATGATTTCTGAGGAACCAAACATGCTGGCCTCCAAAAAAGAAAGCCCACCATGTTGATTGTCTAATAAAAAGACTGAACTAAAAATGGATGCTCAAATTTAGCAAAAAAAAACTCTTTTGTCTGTCCAGTGGACATGTCCCCTCATGACCTTTTTTCCCTGACAGCATTAGTTGGCTACCACCTTCAGTCAACATCATAATCAACAAACAAAAGTTGACAACCAGTGACAACCCATTTAACCTGGATGCTTTATACAATATTGAAATATCCTTGCAGGCAGAGAAGACATCACCTACTAAAAAGAACAAAAGAATGAAGAAACTAGAACAAGGTAATGTTAACTACTTTGAGGACCACCTGTTGCCAGCATGACAGCACAAACAGTAAGTGTCAAAAAAAAAACTTCTATATCACTACAGTAGGTAGAAAACTCATGATATGCTCATGTATCACAAATATGTTTCTTGTTTTTCAGTTTTATGAAAGTAATTCTATTTTAGATTACTTGTATATATTGGAATAAATACTGATGTGCCACACTGCATAAAAATATGTAGGCTAAGAATGAACATCTGCATTTGTACAATTGAATAACTAAAATTTTCACACATCTGAAGAGTTTAAAATTTTAATTTATACATCCACAGATTTTGGTCTATCACTTTAATAGTAATTATTCAGAACATTCTTAGAAAACAAAAGGTCTGATATCAAAGAAACAAACTTTATGACCATGTTTTAGAAGTGAAAGATATGTAAGTATAACATATCTGATTAACTTAATCATCCCATGAATATGTTGTACATTTAAATTTCCAACATAAATAAATTGTTTTTTGCTTTTCAAAAACAAATAGTATAATTTTTGTTATCATCTACTTTTCAGAGTAAATGTAACTGGGATATAAAGATGGAATCATATGGATATTCTGATTTAATGTTAGTTCCTGCAAATGGCAAGTGTTGATCACTGCATAGCCAAAACAAGCAAGGCATTATGACATAACACTTGAGGAAATAACAACAGACCCCTTGGCACGTTGTGGCTGTCTTATTCATTTCAACATTCACCCATCTGGCTATATCCAGACTCAATTTTATAAGTTTTTATGAATTAAGTCATGGAAAATACTAACTCAGAAAATTAGGAGTAATTCAAATAATAACAATACATTGCTGCAGTTTTGAAAGGTGCATTCCTTTTTGAATACATTATTCAATTTTTGCTGTACATTTTAAATCACTACAAACTTAAAATGTAATTAGTATCCACAGGTTTATTTGGCACAAATAGCTGATATAATTGCTTTGAATTACTAACCTCTTCATTATCTTGTTCTTCACCTGAATACATTGATTGGGAAATATTTTGATACACATCAGAAGAAAGTTCAAAGTCTTTTGATATTTCAAAATCTAGAAGAAATGTAATGACTTTTGAAAAATAAGTTTATTTAAATATGACAGAACTATAGGCTCAATTTTTTTTTCTTTTTTTGTAAACTAAAAGTTTACTTCTGCAAAAATTGATGTTAACAAACAGTGAAATTAAACAGTTAAAGTGAAATATAGTTAACATGCTAATACAAGGTTCAACTATACCTCATTTTAGATGTTTTTGTTTTGTAATATCTCCAATTTCTATCTATAACATAAACAAAGTTTCAATACAATAAATAAATACACACTTATTCAGAACTTCACTTTCATTAAACTTGAAAAATAAAAAGGGAAGGGAAGCAAAGATACAGATGAAAAGCTAGTGTAAGTGGTCCAAGACAACAAAAAATATTTTCAAATTATTTAAACTGATGATCTTTTGCTTTGAAGACATATACACATATAATATAAAAGAACTGTATTAGGCGTAATAATACAGAACACGTCCCTTTATTACATTTTGTAAAGCTGTTCATTAATGGTTCTTAAAATATAAACCAGCGTGTATAAGAATGGCCAGGTTAAAGGTTGTTCTAGTTCATACATATTAACTGTTTTCTTTCATTTTTTTTCACTATAGGATTCATTTTGCAATACAAGTAGCTATCCATAACATCTTAAAATTTATAGCTGCAGAAATGAGCTAAAATGGAAACTACATTTTTTCCCCTAGACTTGTGGCAATAAACTTTAAATCCAAACTAATGGAACAATACCAATTCTAAATGGAAACTAGTTTTGACATGTCCTATATAGTTTATTTATTTATTTTTTATTGTGGTAATAACATTCTAGCAACAACCAGGTATCATAAATACCTTTACCCTTTGTCTAGTATTTTCTTTGCTTACATAACATGACGTGACAATTTGCTGTTCAACACAAGGTAAAATTTTGCCTCTCACTATCTAACCACGTCACTTTTATGTAAGCCACTCAAATAAATTTTAGTTTATTTAAACACTTACGAACTGTTTAATTTGCAAACCTCTTATCATAAACAAAACACCTAAAAGTCACATTTCTAACTTAAATTCTTTATAATTTTTATTATGTTTGTTATAAAAATAATTAAACAATATCATTCATGCACAAATCTAACAACATTTCCAGCTTTGAGATATACATTTTTATTACTTTTATTTTTAATAATAATTAGTTTCTACAGGCTGGATGTTAAAAAATACATCTTACCTTGAAACTTTAACTCTGTTTGTTCCAGTTGATTGCTTCTTGGTTTTTGTTCATTCTGTGATATATGATGAAATACCATGTTATGATAATACAAACACATTGTTCTATCCCATGAAATAAAATAAGCAATACCTCAGTTGTGACATAAAAAATAAATTGACAAAAGCTACATGTTAGATAATTCTTATCATAAACTTGAAGCTTCTCTTTGTCCTTAAAGAAAGAAAATTATACAGTGTTTCAAAATAGTGAACACTAGATCTAGGCAATTAGTGGAATTTTCTAACTGATTAATTGAGGAGCTCATTAATCAATTACATTCAACTAATCCATTATTCTCACTACAAACAAACTTGTATCACGACCAATTTGGTTTTCATACGACAGAGCACAAATAATCCATTGTGTAGCTTTGTGCTTAACTAACAAACAAACATAATGGCAACATTTTTATTACTTGGATAACTGAAAAAGTCAAAAATATCATTAACCAGAAACACTAATTTTGATTAATTTATTATTTTCATGAGCCATAATATTAATAGTTAAACTTGGACAAAGTTGAATTAATCAAAAATCATAATGGCAATTTTTCGATCCATCTAGTTAGAATGACTAGAAAACTAATTTTGATTAGTTGATTATTTGTGAAACAATAAATGATTTAATCATAATTTTTATTATAAGATAGTGCTACAAAAATAGGAAAAATCAGAAATACTAATTTTGATTAGTTGATTATTTTTGAGACATTGATCAACTGAATTGTAATTTTGATTACTGGATAGTTGGAATAATCAAAATCATTAATAATCAGAAACATCACTTCATTATTTTTTATGACTGTAATTAATTTAATCACAATTTTGATTAATTTATGTGATACAAATAAATGTAATTAATGCTGACAGGTTATTGATTAATCAAGCTAATTACCCAGCTCTAGTGTACACTGTAATGATATCAAAACAGTCAAGATATTTTGCATTAAATTCCCAGTACATGTATGTAATGTATATTTGTTGATGGAATCCAATAAGGGTTAAATATAAGATAAGCAAAGGCATGAACACAAACGAAAAACTCAACAAAACACCAAAACTAAACATTTTACCACTTTATTTATCGCTATCATGATGCATTGTCATAACTTGATAGAAAATAGTAAAGCTCTATAATACAGATATCTTTATTCATACAAGGAGCATTAGAATGACAATAACAACAGTTGGCAATCTAGTCAACTGAAGTCACTCCTACACTAAGATGAAAAAAACAAAAAATAAGTATCTGACTCAAATCAAATATAGCTCTAGAAAATTTTACATAAACTCCTATTACAAATCTTTAAACAAATGTAAAGTAGGAAAACACACCATATCGTCAATCAGTTTTATTCTACAAGTTTATAATCTACCAATAAATAACCTGGCTAGAGATCAAGATTAAATCTGAACACTTACATCTATAATATTCAAGTTTGCCTTTTTATCACCTTTTATTCCACCAAACATGCCACATACAGGAAGCTTACCCAGTCTGGTAACAATCAAGTCAAATCACTACTAGGTTTTTCCATGTTCCCCATAAAACTAAGTCCAAAGCTATCATGGTGTTTTAAAGGAAACCTCACCACAGTTTTATAAAAGGTTACAATAGCCTTCTTGCTTTTAAATTCAACATAAATATAATCCAAAATTTTGTTAACCACAACTAAACACAGAAGAAAGTTTTATAGTGTGATCAAAAATCATATTCTAATTCTCTTTCCGTACCTCTCACAACACCAATGATACTCTCACAGAAGAAGCAATTCCTTTCCACATTACCATATACTATACAACAAGTGCATAACTTTACACTTTTTAATAACAGTGGCCTACATGTAGTCACTAAATAACCAGCTTTTCCCAGCACCTTAGTACTATATACAAGTATAGCTGTCCAAAAGGCTATTCAGATCAATAACAAAATCACTTAAAAACTTAGAAATTAGATTATATAATATTGTAGTGTACACTTCTTTTTAATATGTTCTTGAAAAAGTATATCAGCGTGCAAGTCTATACATCCTTTTATTTTTCTACATATATTAAATTTTAGAATTGTACATGGAGATGCCATTTCTGGTGTGCTTTTTTTTTAGTTGTGTTCACTAAGTTATCTGCAACACACAGTACTATAACCCAGCTTATTTCTTTCTTAACCCAGAAATTAACAACAACAAAAAAAAAACCACTGAAAACATATTTGAATCATCAGTCCCTCAAGGCTGTTCCTGTACACCCATCCACAAAAAATAAGTAAAAGTTTAATTTCATCTATTATTTTTCATGAAATAATCTATATTCCTCTCTTAAACCCCCATAAAGTGCTGGTAGCAACTACTGCTGATGACAACTTATTCCACTGTCAGGTGGTGTTCCTTTGTTTTTTGGTAGAAAAATGAAACTGTCTTACAAATCTTAAACTTGTGTCCTGTTGTCTTCAGAATACAACATGAAAAAATCAAGGTCTTTATATTTAACCCCCAAGTTGTGGCTGAATAACCTTATACACTCCAAAAAAGACTATCTTTTACTCTCTTTTTTTTTCTCAAGAGAAAATAAGAGATCTTAACCTATCCCTATAATATAACTTTTCCATCTCCAGGATCTTCATAACAACCCTACTATGAATACTTTCCAATAAGTTAATATCTTTTGTTAGATAGGAAGACCAAAACTGTGAACAGTATACTAAGTGTAGCTTATCTAGTGATATGTACAGAGAGTTAATACACTTTTTTGATTTGTAATTAGTTTTTAAGTACACTAAAATTTTATTACTTTTACTACTAGCAACAGAGCAGTACTAGTAGTAGTAATATTAATATTGCCCTAACAATATACTGTTTTAGTTATGTTGACGCAAGAAATTTGATGAAACCTTGTTGTAAAATATAAGACCAAGTGAAGTCAAATACAATCACACAGTTTGCCATTCAGCCTTAGAGATAAAATAATATTATTATTAATAACTCATAATCCTACTTCGACATCGATAATAGCGGATTCCTGAACTTCTGCCATGCTTGACACGTCATACAACTTATTTTGTTCGACATAAATAAGCCACAAAATAAAAATATATAAATATATTTAAAAAACACGCACATACAAATAAACATATTGGTACAGTAAAATAAATAGAATATTGGCTAAGGAAAAGCTATAGTACGATATATGTCATAGAAATTTCGTTAGACCATAACTTTCATATTTTGTAACAGAGTGGTATTCTCAGGTAACCCGATTTTTCAACAAAAGTGAGATAAATAATCTTGCAGATGACAGCAGATCCACTTGGAAATTAAAGACAGTTCTGTATGAGAGAATTACGCTGAGTTTTCTTTTTTAAGCGTAGAACAAAAAGACTGGACAAATTTAAAAGAATGGCCGAAATCTTTATTGCACAAAAATACAGAAAACGCTGTGCGCGTACTAACGCAAACGTTTGGATAGTGCCTATCAACTATATTGTGACTACAGCTCTCTTTCTCTCAAGATTCGTCCCCCGATGGGACAGTGGTAAATCACAGACTTACAACACAAAAATCCGGAGTTCAATTGCTCGCGATGGACACAGCAGACAGCCCAATGTGGCTTTGCTCTGAAAGAAACACACAAACAAAGCTCTCGAGATTCATTGCTATATTGAACGAAACACATCGATTTCCAACAAAGTAACTAGACTCGACTCTTCGGATCGCGGGCTCGAATCCCGTCACAGATCATGCTTGCCCTTTCAGCTGTGGGAGCATTATAATATGACGTCAAACCACTATTCGTTGGTAAAAAAGTAGTCCAAGAGTTGGTGGTGGGTGATGTTGTATAGATGTCTTTCTTCTAGTCTATCACTTCTAAATTAGGGACAGCTAGTACAGATAGCCTTTGAGTAGCTTTGCGAAAAATTCCAAAACAAACCAAAAAAGTAAGTCCTCCTCAACGATCGTCTAACAGGCAACTTAACTAAGAAGGCTCGCTCGAAATTAGCACATAAACTTGCTTTCTTTATCCAATGGATGACGTCACTTTGTGACATTTGTTCCCTAACAGCATTTGTCAGCTTTTGCCTTCAATCAGTATTCTTACGTATCTGCTTGTTTGTTTGTTTCCGGTAGAAATTCTATCCCGGGATCTTCAGCGATACAAGTCCTTTCTTCATTAAACTAGTTTATTCTTCCTCGATACAACTTTTAGTACACAGAAACTCGAAAACCAGTACGTTTCTCGTCACTTTAAACTTAACAATTTCTATGATACACGCTATAAATCACAGTGATTCACAATCTCGATAATTTCGCTCTCGACGAGTGCATAACACACACTTTTACGGCTCACTAGCTCGAAACTAACAGAATCATAAATTACACGGAACTCAAGGTGACTTCTGCTCTCTCTTCATTCATATATGCTGGCTTTTCTGCCAGGCTTATATACTAACTCGGACTTCTTTGATCGTTCGAGAAACTCATCAGCGTCACGTGACTTCCGCTGTCGTATCAGTATCATTAATCTGTCAGCAAAGAATATTTCAGTGCCAAACCATTTAATCTGTTAGCTTCTTAAAATACTGAAATATCCTTGTGAGAAAAGAAGACGTCACCTACTAAAGAGAAGAAAGAAATTAAACAACTAGAACAAGGTAATGTTAACTACTACCTTCTGGACCACGTGATGCCACCATGGCATTGTAGAACCAAGTAATCAAAATCATTGAAAATTTCTACATTTCATGGCGGCAACACGTAGTCCAGAAGGTAGCAATTAACATTACTTTATTCTAGTTTTTGAAGAAAAAACATATTATATGCTCACATACCACATTTTTTTCTCTTCTCTCTCAGGTCTGTCTACAGGCCAACAATTAAAAATATCTTTAAAATCAACCCACTGCAATTCATGACATGGTCGAGGAGCGTGTTAACTTTCTTCCCAAAAATACTTACAAGCCACTTAAAAATACAAACTCTTTAACAAAGAATCACGTATAATCACATCAAGATAAAACAATTTAACTAGGACTTAATACAATAATTCGTGTTATAAGAAAATAAGATAATCAAAGAGGCAACTCTTGAACTATGATTTCAAAAAATGTGATATATACAAAATCATAACCCTTTAACCCGATACTTGCCGTGGCCATTTTGTTTTATTGTGAGGGCAAAATCATTTGTGAATTGAAAAAATGATAGAGAACTCATTATTTATTGGATTTCAGATTTTATTTTTGTAAACAGTAGCATAACATTCAATTATTTGTACAAAATTGTATTATTTAATGAAAAAATTCCTAAAATACGTTTTAGACCAGCGTTTCCCAAACTATGGGTCATGACCCACTGGTGGGTCGTAAAAAGTTATACTAGAATTACGCATTAGCTTCGATTAAACGCTGTCTGTCGAGATAGTTCAAGACTCGGGCTTTCATTGCCAGGCTGTTGTAGTATCAAGCAGTATGTTGTTTTGACGAGCTTAACGAATCAGGGTTGATCATGCTCTCAATTTAATCAAAGGATACCTAGAAATATAAAAAAACTATAGATATCTATAATCAAAAGTTAAAATTCTGCAATCAACTGATAAAACCGGTACTATAGCTAAAGTACTGTATGAATAGGTGAAAATTGATTTCCTTTTTACGATGACATTATACGTAGATATAATGCGCTCCCGGCTCCTACACCTATGCTATGTCAATCAAAAGTTAAAATTCTGTAACCAAAGGTTAGATATCTACTTACAAAGGATATCTAGAAATAAAAAAACTATATATATCGATAATCAAAAGTTAGATATCTGCATTCAAATGATAGAAATCTACAATCCATTGTTCAGATTCTGCAATCAAATGTTAAAATTCTGCAATCAACTGATAAAACCGGTACAACGCTGACATATGTTTTTGCCCAGTACATTTGAGTGGGTCGCCATAAGCTGTGGTCATGAATAGTGGGTCGCGATTCTAAAAAGTTTGGGAACCCCTGCTCTACACAAACCAGTAAGATATAAATTTTCAAGAAGCCGAGTAATTGTTTCAGGGATTGTTGAACAATGAAAGGCTTATTTGGTGGATATCTCTAATCTAAGTCAATATAACAATCTGTTTATTTACTCACTTGTATTGACGTGTTTTCTAAATATGAATGAGTTGTTCAACTCAAGAATAAGATAGGTGCAACACTCGTCAAAACTTTTGAGTAAATTTTAAAACAGGGTCAAAAACCTTGTAAACCACCCAACCAATGCTGAAACAGAATTTATTAATTCTCTGTTTCAATGCTATCTCAAGGAACAAGACATTCACTTCTTTAGTACACATAATGAAACAAAAGCGTCAATAATAGAAAGATTTATTCACACTCTTAAAACTAAAGTGTGGCATTAGTTTACTCATCGTAGAACTTAAAAGTATATCACTCTACTGAAAATTCTGGTCAGTAATCAATCGTATCATCACAGCATTAAAACTAGACCAATGGACATTAATCACTGTAATCAGTCTGTAGTGTGGAAAAAACTTTACAAATCACCCACCAGGTGATCGAACATTACAAAAGTGAAGCATCAATTTAAGAAAGGGTACATGTATGAATAGACAGACAAATTATTTACAATTTACGAGACAAAGCCGCTATAACACTTGATCCTTTACTACTGGAATTTTATAATAATTGCATGATAACAGAGCCCACTATATCTTCATATACTTGATGATGTTAGAAAAACACGTAGGTTCAAGAAGTATTGATAAAAATGAATAAAAACCCTATAACCCGAGCGCTTTAGAAAGATGGATCTTTCTCTTCAGGAGCAAACTGGGAATGATGGTGTAATCGAATGAGTAATAACAATCAAATTTACCTGTGATTACTCGCCTACCCAGATCAACTTTCTTGAGTCACTGTTTTTCTAAAAGACGGTATTTTACACACAGATAGACCACAATACCTTCACTATAAAAACTGTCACCCCTCTCACACTAAACGAAACATTACCTATAGTAAAGCTCTTAGAATAAAGAAAATACTTTCAGAGAAACAGATTACAGAGAATACACTAAATATGTAAAACAAAGAGGATATAAAGATACCGAAACCGACAGACAAATTGAAAAGACTAACAACGCTCAGCAGAAAAACATCCTAAATTAGAGCAATACTAAACGTTCAAATGGAATCCCTTTTATTATTACCTATCAGTTTAAATTCAGAAACGTTTCACAAATTCAGAAAAAAACATTTTCATCTCCTACAGCTCAACAATCCTCTTAAACAAATATTTCCTGAAGTTCCCGTTGTCTCTTTCCGAAAAAGCAGAACTCTAAAATATATCCTTATTCACACAAAAGTGTACCTTATACACTGTCAAAAAATGCAATCACCAATATGTAGGGCATACACAAATAACTCTTAGAGAACGTTTCAACAATCTAAAATATTCTATTAACACCGAAAAAGATCTCCTTGTTGCTCAACACTTTAACTAACTCGGTCATTTCATTAACGATGTTACTGTCTCAGGCATTGAAACAGGATTAAAAACTAAAACTAATAGAGAAATAAAAGAAGCTTATTGGATTGCTAATCTAAACACTGTTCAGCCTTTCGGAATTAATCTAGATCCTGGAATCAGTGATCTCCGTTCATTGGTTTCATGTTTGTCAGAAAAATAATTTTTACTCTTTGCTTATTTTTTCATGTAATGTGAACGCTGAATTTCCTAAAACTTATTATTTATTTAAGATAATTTTTCATGCCTATTTTTTTATAAATTGATTAGAATAACATATAGTTTTCAATCAGTCTCCAGGTGTCACCTTTATTTTACTTAAACACTTAAGTCTAGTTTTAAAGATACATATATTTAGCCATTTCAAAAGTAAAATATATCCAACACTTTTTCACATACACTCTCGCCATCGGCTACATTCTACCAGAAATTAGATGCTTACAACAGTACATGGAGAAATAGTCTAAACACTTCCTGGAAAACCAAACGACCTTCATGACGTCACTGAACTCCCTTTATATATATATATTCCCAGTTTGCCCCTGAAGAAGAAAGGT